AGAGGAGAAAGGAACAAGTCACAGAGGGTAAAACACAGAGCCTGGGCAGCATGGAATGAGTTGTCCAGGATCTGTGACTGGCTTCTGGCCACTTGCCCCCTACGGTTTGCCTGGGCCAAGAGGCCTCAGTCTTCTACTGAGGGTATCAAGCAGGCCTGGGGCTGTTTCCCTGTCGTACTCTGGCTCTATGAATGACTTCAGTCCCCGAATAAGATGGGCAGGTGGCACTAGCCACAACCTCTGGCATTCAGTGACTGGGCAAAGCTGATCCTGGGCTCCTCTTGGCCACAGGTGACAAGTACTGGGTGTTTAAGGAGGTGACGGTGGAGCCTGGGTACCCCCACAGCCTGGGGGAGCTGGGCAGCTGTCTGCCCCGAGAAGGCATTGACACGGCTCTGCGCTGGGAACCCGTGGGCAAGACCTACTTTTTCAAAGGCGAGCAGTACTGGCGCTACAGCGAGGAGCGGCGGGCCACAGACCCTGGCTACCCCAAGCCCATCACCGTGTGGAAGGGCATCCCACAGGCTCCCCAAGGGGCCTTCATCAGCAAGGAAGGATGTATGTATGGGCCCGGCAGGGTGGGGGGGGTCTCAGCAAAGCCCTCGGGCACACTCTCAGGGTATCCAGGTTTGAGAAACACTGCCTGGGAGCAAAGACAGCTGCCTCGTATCCACCCATGTTCACACAGCAAAATTCTCTTACCAGCTACCAAGTCACAATTTCTTATCTTCAGGGATGATTCTCCATTGAGAGGTGTTTTCATAGACTGACTTCATTCCTTCAAACAGCATTCCTCATGGGCCTCAGGTGTACTCCAGGAGTTCCTTGAGTTATCAAATCTGAAAAGCAATGATATGGTTTTCCCAGGGTTTGAGGGCAGGGAGGTGGAGAGAGAAGCTTTCTTTGTTTACAAGTCATTTTCTAAGCTCCTCCTAGAGGCCAGAGTAGGAGCTTCTCAGGAAGAGGCTGGGTCTTGTCAGGCGCAGAGTAGGTATCATAAATGTCTGTTGAATACATCTCCACTGATATGGTCAAAAGCACAGCCTGGCTGGTTTCACATCCCATCTCCACCACTTACTATGAGTTTGGGCAAATCACTTTTTTTCCTCAGTTTCCTGATACCTACCTCATAGGATTTTGTAAGGATTAAATAAATCATGGAGAGCACTTAGACTAATGCCTAGCACATGGCCCATGCCATCTGCTTTAGCTGCTATCATCATTGTCATCTTGTTGTGTTTTAGTTTATATGGAATGACAGATTTACTCACTCCACCTTTATTACTTAGAACCAGGTTGTGTGGGAGGGTTGAAGATGGAGCAGAGAACAAGACTTGCATTGCATCCTGTTTCTCGGGCTAGGGGCAGAAAAATAAGACAGCAACAAATGCTGTAAGGGAAAGAAATGCTGTGAGAAAGCAACTAGGCAGAGGGGGCCACTTTAGAGGTCATTGGGAAGGACTCTGACGAGGATCACTAGTAAAAAAGCCAACAGCTCCAGGGACAGAGCAGCTATCTGGTGGCTCTCCTGTGTACCTCATGCTTTACACACGTGGTCTCACCTTCTGGGGAGCCTCAGAAACAGATGACATCAAAGACTTTGGCCAATGAATGTCCCAGCCAGGGTGGGGAACCGGCCAATGAGAGTCTGAGTGCGTTGCTTTGCATCTGTGGACTGGCTTGCTGCTAAGGCTGTTGCTGGGAGCCTTGGAGTGGCCCCCAAAGTTTGCTGCCTTCTTTCCTCCCAGCCCCTCCCCTAGAAGGGTCCCAGAAATCTTGTAATCAGTGTTTTGAAGTGATGTATGCCAAGCCAAAAAAAAAAAAAAAATCCATGATAATTGCCAAGAGGTGGTGTCTGCTGTCAAGAGGAAAAATCTTGCTCCCTGCCTCCCTTGGCTTAGGCAGGAGCTGGACTGAGGCACTAGAGCTATGGAGATTGTGCTGTCCAAGCCCTAAGTTGGGGGCTTGATCTGACCCATATGGGGTTGCCTACGGGGACAGTGTCACAGAGCTATGGCCCCAGACTGAGAAGGTCCAGTCTGGGAAGCACAAATTGAATTTACCAATTTGACTTAAAGCCCCTCTATGGCTCCCCAGAACCTTTGAGAATATGGGGTGGGCTGCTCCAGGTCCTGGGTGCCCATTTCTGCAGCCATGCAGGTGATAGTCCATGACCCAGACACACTATTTGCAGGATGTGCCAAGCACTGTGCTCCCCCACCTCCAAGCCCACTCCTCCTTCAGAGCTCCTCTGGGACTCCCCCAGGTGGGAGAGGTGCCCCTCCTCCACACACCCACAGCGCCTTCCGCCCTCACATGCAGGTGCAGGGAAGTGTCTGGGAGTGGTGGTGACGCTGGGCTGTGTTTCTGCAGATTACACCTATTTCTACAAGGGCCGGGACTACTGGAAGTTTGACAACCAGAAACTGAGTGTGGAGCCTGGCTACCCACGCAACATCTTGCGTGACTGGATGGGCTGCAACCAGAAGGAGGTGGAACGGCGCAAGGAGCGGCGGTTGCCCCAGGACGACGTGGACATCATGGTGACCATCAACGACATGCCAGGCTCTGTGAATGCGGTGGCCGTGGTCATCCCCTGCATCCTGTCCCTCTGCATCCTGGTGCTGGTCTACACCATCTTCCAGTTCAAGAACAAGGCAGGCCCTCAGCCTGTCACCTACTATAAGCGGCCAGTCCAGGAGTGGGTGTGAGCAGCCTAGAGCCCTCTCTGTCCACTCAGTCTGGCCAAGCAGGCCCTTCCTCACCAGGGTCTGAGGGGCAGCTCTGGTCACTGCCCACTGGAGCCAGCAGGGCCCTAGGCTAGGGGTCATGTAGTTGAAGTGGTGGGCGCATTGGCCTAGGATGAACGTGGGGCAGGGAGTGATGGCAGCTGTGCCCCAGGGTGTGTGCCTGGCACCCAGATGCCAGCCTTCTGTCCTGGGTAAACTGCTCCCTACTCAAGGGAATAGGCCAGGCCCCATGCCAGGTGGAGGCCCTGTGGTCACTGCATCCTGTGGTGTCCATGAGACGCCACGGCTTGGTTCCTGGCTGGACCCAGCACCTTCTGTGGGAAGCCAGCACTAGTGCTCTCAGTCCCATCTGGGAGAAGCCACCAGTCCTGGTCCCTCTTTGCCAACACCTGCTGGTCAGATGTCCTCCCCACCCCCACCCCACTGTTCTCCAAGGCTACAGGACCCCTGCTGCCAACACAGTGGGCAACAAGACGGGTTTCCCCTGCTGGCATGCAGCAGATCCCTCAGGAAACCTGCTCCATACATCAGGGTCTCCTCTGAGACCCAGGATTTAGGGTCACTTGCTGCAGGCAGGGCTGTGGCCCAGCCGGGTCTCACAAGGACCCTGCTGTCACATCTTGAACATTTAAATGTCCTGTCTCTACTGTTTAAAGTCCCATTCTGCAAAGGCTGCTTGAGGCTTTAGGTGAATTAGAGGTGACTGTCTTGGTGATGAGGCCGGTGACAGGCCACGCCCCAGGTGATAAGGACCACGGTGCTGCTAAGGCCACTCTAACACCCAGACACCCCAGGAGCCAGGCCCTCCTCCTGAGGCTAACGCACTGGGGCAGGAGCTGACCCTATTTCTGGAGGCTGATCTGAGTGTGTGACCATCCTCCACTCTCCTTACTTTCTGTTCCCTCAGTCTCTAGCAGCACTCCAGCCTGTAGCTTGTGGCCTGGGGCTCAGCCTGACTGGTTATGTGAGGCAGAAATGGCTTCAGGCCAACATCCTCATGGCCTCGGGTAAGGGAGTCAGGGCAGCCTTCTCAAGTGCTCAGAGCCCATACCCCCCACATACCCTGAGGCCCACTCAATCCCTCAGACTGGAACCAGTGTTCCTATCATGAGCTTGGCCCTTGCTAACCCAGCTCTCTAGGCCATTTTCCTGCGTTGCTCTTTGGAAAAGAGCAACCCCATGGGTAGTGGCCCCAAGCCTAGGGGCCCACCCTACACTGTCTCTGGCAGGAATTCCTAGGGCTCAGCTTGCCTCACTCCAACCCAGTAGAGGCAGCCCTGCTTATCACTGAGACGTCCTGGGCAAGACCAATGGGTTCAGTGATGCCCGCTGGCTCTCTGCCAAATCCAGGAGGTGGTATCAGTCTTCAGGATGCTGCCACCCTGGCCCTCTGAGCCTACAAGGACCTTGCCCCCACCCTGTGACCTCTGGTCTTTGGGTCAGCTTAAGCTGTAGGAGACAGGGACTTCTGTTGCCCTGGGAGCTAACTGTCTAAAGCAAAATCTCTTGTCCCAGAGGCACCTATTGGGCTCCACTGTGTTCCCTGTCATTATCCTTTTGTGTTTTGTTTTGTTTTTCTCATTTTGGCCAAGGGCGGGCTCCCTGGGGCGGGTGGGGAACAACTGCGGAGATATAAGTGATTCATAGGTTTGTACACTGTTTTATACTTTGCAAAGCACTTTATTAGCTCACACCTGTCCACTCACATGAAACTAGTGTAGGCCCTGGGAGGCCAAGGGTAATTTTCATCACGCCCTCAAATGAAGCACAGAGAGGTTGTTACATGCCCAGGCTGTCCAGTGAGCTGGCTGGGCCTTGGTCTCCACCTGTGGACCCCTCTAAGGTCCAAGATGAGATCAGAAGTGTCTCTTTTATCCATCTTTTCCTGGCCTCCTTTCTCCCCTTCCTGGTCCCTCTCCACTCCTCAGGTTGGTGCTCTCACTTCTTGAATGCTCTAGGCCCCGCAGGCTCCCGTTGGCTCCTAATACTACCAAGGTCAGCTGAGAAAGAGCAGGAGATGGAGGCAGGCAGCCCAGGCTGCAGATGTGAGGGATGCAAGGCTAGACCCGGAGAGGGCTCAGCCTGGAGGCTTCCAAACTCGAATTATCCTGCCTTGTGATTATCTGTTTGTCCATCACCCCAGGACAGAGCAGACAGAGGGGCAAAGCCCTGGGGGTCCCAGAGCCCAGCTTCCCCTCAGCCTGGGGAACATCATAGCATTTCAGTGTCAGTCACATTTTAAACTGATCAGCCTTTGTATAATGTTTTTTAAATCATTTCTAAATAAAACAAAAATACAGTCTGTCATTTCCCTTGAATGTGGGAGAGAGAAACAGGTTCTGAGAGTGGCCTAAGAAGCTTCTGGGAGGAGAGAAACAGGGTACTTTGGGGTGTCCAGGAGCTGCCTCATTCGTCTCATCTGCCAGCCCAGCAATCACACATCCCTCTCTCCAAGAGGCCCAGTGGAATCGGGTCCCAGAAATACAGCCTGACAATGCCTCACTGGGGTCCGGCTGGAGGAGCAACCTCCCCTGGCTCAGGAAGAGTCACCGCAGCAAGGTCTTCTCTGCAGTCAAGGCCCACCGTGCAATGACCAGAACAAAAGCAGGAGCCGAGTTCTCAGCATTAAGGGACAAGTGAGGTCAGTGGCTTTAGGGTCTCACCACGAACCCTCGCCTGGTTCTGGAAGTCAGTGACAGGGAAGCTGAGCCAGGACCCAGATGGCTGGAGCTGTGGGGTGCGGGTGAGCACGAAGGCTGAGGTGGTTTGGGTGTAGGATGGGGAGCGAACAAATTCAAGGTGTCCCAAGGCGCTGCTGTGGAGGCAGCTCGGCCGGGACTTCCTTCCAGGCCCCTAACCCTCCTCAATCCCAGTCTCTGGGGCGCCGGTGGGGCTGGGGCGCGGGGGCGGGAGGGAACAGGCTGAGACACTGGGCCGTGGGGACAGACGACAGCGGCCTGACCCGGCGAGGCGAACAGAACAGGCGGTGAGCGGTGACTCGGAGGGCGGAGTCAGTACCAGGAGGTGCAGGCGATGAGGAAGCGCACGTCGTCCAGGGGCCCCCAGGGGCTGGGCTCGGGCCCAGGCCGCTCAGGACCCTCGGGCGCCGCGGGCTGGGGTTGGGGCTGCGCCGGCCCCGCGGCGCCCTCGCCGCCGCTCAGCTGAGCGCCCATGGTCTGCAGGAGTAGAAGCCCGTCAGGTGCTCGGCCAGCCCTACGGCCCCTCCCCGCCCCTCCGACCCTCACCTCGCGCGGTGGGAGCAGCGGGTCCCGAGAATCGCACCGCCGGCCTCCACGGTCCGCTCGCCCGCGCCGCTGAGCCGGGAGGAGCGATCGCCGTGACGTCACCACCCACGGCCTCCAGAGCGGTCTCTGGCCCCGGGGGCGGGACCAACAAGCTCGACCCCACCCACCAGCAACTGGCCAATCCCGTCCCAACCTGCGGTGACGCGCCCTGCGCAGCCAGACCAATAGAAGGCCCACCCCAGCTACTGAGGAGCCGCGGAGGGGGAGGCTGTGCAGGGCCCCGGGCAGTCAGGCCAGCAACCTCCAACTACGTTGGGTCAGAGGGCAAGCCTGCCCCATAGCCAGGTGCCCCCGGATCCTCAGACCAGCCCTGGGGGGTGATTTTCATGAAGTGTGAGGCTGAAGCTGAGTGGAAAATGGAGTAGTGTGGCGGGAGCCTGTGGCGGCCGTGCGGGCGTGCCCCCGCGCATCCTCCCCCATCTTTCCCCGGGAATAACAACACATTCAGAATGATCAGAAGCAGCTGCCTTTAATTGGCTGGCACAGGACAGCAGGGCTCTCAGCTCGCAGCCAGAAGGCCTGACAGCTAGTACATGGTAGATTTTTGCAGTAACTAGAGTCAGGAGATGGGCACTGGTGAAGAAGGGTTGGGCACCCAGCCACCTGATACCAATGAGCTCTCCGCCACATCCGGAACACAGTGGGTGGGACTTGAGAGGGAGCCAAAGTTCAGAACCAGGAGCCAACAAAACGGCATGGGAGGTGATTCAGGTAAGGCTAGGGAGAGAGGAAGGAGCATTGTCAGTAGGTGCTTCACAGAGCACACCTCACCCTCCATTCTCAAGCTGCTTGCCTCCAACCTTACCCCAGGCCCTTTGTTCCAGCTTAGCCCTGAAGAACCATATTCAAAGCCCCTTCCAGGTTCCACTGATCCCTTGAGTTACAATCCATTGTAGAACTCTCAATGCTTAAAAAGTAAAAGTAATTCCTTCCCTGTTCAGATGGGTCAATAATTTATTCAGCTCAGCCTGCCTGGCTCAGTGTTTCAGTGTTGACCTAGGAACCAGGAGCTCACGGGTTTGATTCCCCGTCAGGGCACATGCCTGGGTTGTGGGCTAGATCCCCAGTGTGGGGAGTGTGGAAGGCAGCTGATCAGTGGTTCTCTCTCCTCATTGATGTTTCTCTCTCTCCCTCCCTGAAATAAATGAAAATATGTTTAAAAAATAATTTATTCAAACTGTTAGTGGTCTTAGGTTGGATCCTCAAGGGTCAAGTCCAACAGACATGAAAGAAAGGAACAAGGGGGCTCAGACAGGGAAGGGATGTGCCTAAGCCACAAATCCCCCAGTGGCAGAGCTCAGGCCAGAACTTTCTTCCTGCAAGTGATAATCATGTGCATGATTATAAAAATGAAGTACATATTTCTAGTGCCTGACACCTTTATTTTAAGGTCTCACAGGCACCTCAAATTCAGTGAATTCAAAACCAAAGGAGAATAATGAGTTTTGTCTCTTCTTTCCAATACCCATTTCTTTATCATATCAAACTGCAATGCTGACCGGTGCTGCTGACTACATGACTTTAAATTTCTGAAATTTCACCATTAAATGCAACATTTGCTATAATTTTTCAGTAGGTACCAATAATCAGGTTACAGAAATTTCTGTTCTTAGGTTACTAAGAGTTTTTTTGTTCTTTAGTTAAATGATTAATGGTGTAAGTACTGTCTTTTTCTTATGAAAGTCTGTTTCAACAGGGCAGGGAGTGTATATTTTATTTGTCATCACATCACTATTGTGTGGCACATAACAGGTGTTTAAAAAAAGCTGTTTAACAAATGACAGAACCACTGGTCCCACTTTCCTGTTCAGACCCTTTCCACAGCTCTCTAGGGCTGACAGCACACAGCCTGTCAGTGTGGTCTCCAAACTGTCCCATCACAATCACACAGGGAAGCTTATTAAAATAACCACACATGGTTGGGCCCCACTCCAGACTGAGGGAATCAGTAACTGAGGGATGATGCCAGGAATCTATGTAAACAATCATCCAACATAGACCAAAGGTCAAAATCATAGGTCTATAGTCAAAACTTCTTGACATGGGGGAGGGAGATTGGGGGCCTAGGTGAAAAAGGTAAAGGGATTAAAAAGTACAAATTGGCAGTTAAAAAAATAGTCATGGGGATGTAAAGTACAGTATAGAGAATATAGTTAATAATATTGTAATAACTATGTACCAGTCCTTCTGGGGGAATCACTTCCTTGTTATATAAATGTCTAACCACTATGTTGTATACCTAAAACTAATATAATATTGAGTGTCAGCTCTAATTGGAAAAAAAGACTTGACATGGGCATTCAGTCCCCAACACTCTTGGAATAAGAGTTTTCCCCTTCATACTCTTCTGTGTGTCTGTTTAATGTGCTTCCCCACTCTATCTATGCATATTCAATTACCTACTCATTCCTGAAAGCCCAAACTAAATGAACTGTCCTTTCTGGATCCCAAAAAGTGTCTCTTAGAGCTTGCCAAGCCACTTACGGCACCTTTTATTTCTTCTTTGAAGATAGCTAAGAGTATGTGTGGCCACTGCAACTTTTCTCACCTGCTACCCTGTGAGCCCCTCAGAGGCAGAAGTAGCACTAAGTTGCCTATCCCACATGAAGCCTTGTCTTTAGGGCTCAATGAACATCAGGCGAATGAATAAATGAAGAAGGGAGAATGAAGGGGAATACTGCCCGCTGCAAGTGCGATTACTGGGCACTCAACCCGCTTTGCAGTTTCTATTCTCATAAAGACGCCTGTGCTAGTTGGGTGTAGCATATCCTGGGAAGGATCCTCAGTGGGGAATAAGAGAGAAGGAGCCTGAATACCCAACACCTGCTGCTCTTCCAAAGAAAGAAGAGATTCTAGAGATTCACACCCCTGAATCTCCAGGATTGAGGCCCAAGAACTCACGTTAAAAAACAAATAAACACAAAAACCCAGGTGACTGTGCTTGTGATGCAATCCCCACCCCCAAGTCCATTAGGCACCTAAGGCCTCCTCAGTTCCTAAGGGCAGCCTCCCCTTCTTCCCTCAGTAAACAGCTCTTTTCTGTATCAGTCTGCCGGCTGGGGCACCGATACACAGGCAGATACAAACTACATGTGGTAAGTGATAAAATAAGACAGACCAGAGGGAAGCTTTGCCCAGAGAGAAGATACACTGAACCAAGTCTTCAAAGACAGGGATGAGCAGATACTCAGGCAATGCTTGCAGCTATACCCTATGACAGCCCAGCATTGTGAAGGTGTGTCCTCACACGCAAGTAGAACCTACAGGTATGAATACAGTGTGGCTCCCATTATAGGTGATCTCCTTCCCCTACCTTCAAAGGGCAGAAGAGAGACCCAGATACCTGTCAATGAGTGAATCCCGCATGCTGGTAGCAATGGTGCTAGGCTGGGCTTCATTCAGCTTAAAGACACTCTCCACCACTGAAAGCTCTGTGCTGGTTGTGTCCAGGCCACAGAAGGCACACCAGTCGTTCACCACCATCCCAGCAGCGATGACCTCACTGCCCCGGTTCACAGTGCCCGCCTGCAAATGATAGCTCAATATGGATCATAACATCAATAATCAAAGTTTCTCCCATCCCTGATGAGAACTCCCCCCAAACCCTGCTCCCTGACCTGCAGTCCAATCCCAACCTGTGATGGGTAATAAGCCCAATAATGCAGGACAAAGAGATCTGCTTCAGCAGGAGACAGAGAACAAGAATGCTTACCACAAGGGGGACCTGAAGGAGAGAGGACAGTTCATCCTGGTCTTCAATTGAAGTCTTGGGATGTACCAGCCCTCCCTGATTGCTGAAGACACAGTAGCTTCCTACTAACACCTGGTCAGCCACTGTCTGTCTGAAGACTTCCACTTTGAGCACATCAGCCAGGATTTCTTCTGTCTCCTGTCAGTCAGAGGTACTGTGCTCAGCGCCCAGGGCTTGCAAGTCAAAGAATCCAGGGTCCTCCATGCCAAGAACCACACAGGGCTTAACGCCCTAAACCCCCATTCCTCTCCTACATAGCTGCATATGAAAGCTTGATCCAGAAAAAGGAGGGGATACAGCTTGGAGCACAGTTGAGGCCAGCTATGGAGCCCCTAATATCCATGCATACCCTGAACAGCCAGGGGCTGCTCTCCATACCACCCTTTAATGCGCACTCAAGGTTCAAGTGTCAATCATCTCTCCTGGGCCTGGCTAGTTCCTAATTCTGAAGGATTAATACCCTCTCCAGCTTCTTTCTTATACTGACCACACCATGGAAGGTCTCTATTATCACTATTCCAATGAGTAACTAAAATGTGAGACCACAGGTATAAAAAGAAACCATAAGAGATACTCCTATTTCCTGCCTGACAGGTAAGAACGGTGACTAGCCATTTACTAGGCTAGTACTGTGACTCTTGGACCAAGCTAGGCTGCCTTACCCTGTCCAGGTCTGGGTGGACCAAGGCCACATAGTCATTGCAGGTGGTGACATTGCCCAGGGCTGAGAGCCGCTCCTCCACCCGCCGGATCTGCACTGAGTCTGGGAGGCAGTTTCTAATATGTTGTAGCTCCTGGTCAGTAGTGTTGTTGGGCACCAGGAGACCGTGTCTGTTCCCTGGAAAGATCCAAATTGAGGGGTGGAACAAGGAAAGACCATGAATACACAGATACCTGCTGAGCCCTGGAAGCTGAGGATACAACCCAGCCCAATTAATTAGCTTTCCCAGGAAAGCTTTAGGCCAACTCCAGCCCTCTAACCAGTTGATCCATACAACACTAAGAGAGACCAGGAGTCCTACTGGGCAACCCGAGACAGCCTAGGAGTCTGTCCCAACACACACTACCTACTTTGACAATACCAACCAGGGGGACCTGGACTAGCAGGAAGTGTTCTTGGCATTAGTTATATATTTTGCCACTTAAAATATAACACCACACACCTATTAGAATAGCTAAAATTTTCAAAAGAACATCAATACCAAGTGTTGGCAAATATATGGAGCAACCAATAGGAGTGTAAATTGTTTAACCACTTCAGATAATTATCTGGCATCATATAGTAAACTGAATATTCACATACCCTGTGACCCAGCCATTTTCTCCTAGGTATTACATA